ATGCTAAACCTTTACAGTTAATATATATAACTGTAATAAGTAAGTATTAATCTAGTAAAGTAACATAAATAAAAAAGCTTTCCACAACAAATAAAAATCCAGACAGGGAAACTAGTACGAAAATTAATAAAAACATAAGCGTCCCACAGCTTGAGCCCCGTAGACCTCCATCACACAGTGACCACAAACTAGTAAAACACACTAGTGATTCATATTATTCTTTTTTAAGGTAGATTAGGTTTAGATATATTTAGCCTACATTCCTGAATGAAATTTAGAAAATGCCATTTTCTCTTTAACCAATTTAATTTGTGAAACTTTGAGAGTAGTATTTGAAAGCATTTGTTTTATTCACCATGTTTAAAGTTAAAACCAAAAGGAAATTAAAAGCATTTGTTGCCATATTCATATTAGTATAAATGATTGAGAGAATCAACTTTTAATTGTTTCTTATTAAATGTATTAAATGGCATGGCGTTGTGACACAGCTGTCAGTGAACTCAGTTTCTGTTTTGTTTGTGTATAGTCTTTGTCTGGAAGAGACCTGGAGTATCACATCTCAGCCAATCGGAGCAGATGGCCATTTAAGGAGCTGAATCATCAGACGGTCATCACATCGAGGCTCGGGTTCAACCTCACTGTTACTCAGGGCAACAATGAGGTCAGAGGACACACACACACACACACACACACACACACAGAGTTCCTCCAGTTTTAGTTGACAAAATATAATTTTGCTGACAAAAATTATTGATAAACTAAATTAACACTGGTTTAATATCAACATGGTGAAAATCCAATACAAAATATGAAAAAATAGCATCACTACTGTTGAAAAGTAATCAGATATAATTACTGAGAGAAAGAGCTGATGAGAGTACCTGTAAGTTACAAAAATGAAATACCTTTGTATTTATTTTGCAGATTGGCTATATTGTACATTTTGTACATATTGTATATTGTACATTTACATCATTGTAGTATTAAGTTTAATACGTTACAGTCTAAGCAGCATTTAGATATATGTATGATCAGTTATGTACTTTTTCCAACAACTTACTGTTACATATCCCTGCTCCTTTTGTTTTGGCACAAGAAAAAAAAAATCACAAACAAGAAAGTCACAAACACAGCTGGAGTGTTTTTGTCTCCTTCTGACAGCTTGAAACCAAACTGCATTTGTGGATCGTATCCAGAGGTTTATGTTCACTCAGGTCAGCCAGCGAGATGGAGGCTGGCTGTGGAAGCGGAAGTGTTCTTGTCATTTTGTGTTGGGAGTGATAATAAGTCTTTGAAAGCTTTGCTTTGCATTTTGAAGTGCGGCCAAGTAAGCACAGCTCCACAAACTCTGGTGGTGTGCCAGACGTGTTGTGGTAGAGAATAATGCTGATTTTATAGCTCCGTAACCACAGCTGCTTTTGGCTAAACCTCTCACTGTGCTTGTTCATTCTTACTCTCACTGGAATGAACAAGCTTGCTACTGCTGCTTATGTGATGGAGGAGATGCTACAAAGTTCACTATGCAATGAGATAAAGTCAACACACTGAGGGAACATGGTGTGTTTTATTTTTGGTGACACAAAGGTACTTAAACAACTTACCTTTTTCACAAACTAACATTACAAATTACTTCTTAATTGCAAAATGTGGTGAATTACTTGAACTCGTTGCGTAGTGAGTTTATCTCCTCCAGTACCTAACCAGCTTGTTAATTTCCCTCTGGGTGAAAGCTTAACTAGAAGGTAGCCTGCTAGCATATTGGTGGTTCATCACAGTCTGGAGTAGAGATTATTAGCATATCAGACACTTATATAAAGGCTGTCTTCTCCACCATCACTTTAGCTGTCACTGCCCTGCTCATTGAAGACTGGAGACATTCTACAATGCAGGCCTCGTAGTTGGCGTGTTAGTTTGTTTAAGCAGTTTGCTTTACATAATTTCCTCAGGGATTAATAAAGTATTCCATATGATATATAAATACCCCCCCCCCACACACACACACACTGTCTCAATTATTATACCATGCCACATGCTACAACAAGGTCTTCATGTGACACACACACACCCACACCACCACCACAGATGACACACACACACACACGCATAATCCAAAACAGTGTGCACTCCTGAATGCTCCTCCCTT